ATATATATATATATATATATATATATATATATATATATATATATATATATATATATATATATATATATATATATATATATATATATATTTGTGTGTGTGTTTATGTGTATCAGTATATGTGTATATATATATATGTATATATAAATATACATATGTATGTACATATATATATATATATGTATGTGTATATATGTACATATATATATGTATGTATATATATGTACATATATATATATGTATGCATATATATGTACATATATATATACTTATATATATACATGTATATATATATGTGCATACATATGTATGAATATATATGATTCATTGATTCTACTATGAACTTAAAATATATTTTAAATATTAAATATCTAAAATATGTGTAAATTTCTTATGATTTCGATATTAAATAAAATTTGTCCGCTTTAATGATTGAAATTCAACATCAATCAATTGATGGACATTATTAGCTACAAAATTTTGTATATATATTATGTATATATATATAATAGGTATATTTATTTAATTTAGCTTTACAAAGAATCACGGAGTCACGAAAAATGCAACAATTATCATAAAAAAATAAAAAAAATATATATACACATGTAAAGTAATTAAACATGAATGGATTCAAAGCATCCCTCCGGTCAAATCAATGGCCAGTTGCTTGACGAATAACAAGAACAAAGCTTTCTATCAAGCGCTAGAAGCGCATCATTATCTTGTATACTCGAGTGGCCTTTCCGTCTTTTGTCTCTTCCTCCATGGGCGGTGGACGCATGAGCGTGTGGAGGGCCACATGCGCCGCGGAAGAAACCTCCCATGAAGGCAACCATCGAGAGAAGGCCAGCCGCGCAGTGCGGTGGCCAGCGACGTGCCCCACATGCCAACAACCGCCCGCACGGCTCCTTGGACCTCACCGGGCGCAAAAGTTCCTCAGCAGGGCACGGGGCGTGCACGCGCCTTCCGTCGAATAGCTTATCCGCCTTGCTCCTCTGTTTCGGTCATGTCCACCAACCCTCAATCATATTGGCTCTTCCCTGGAAACATTTCCCTCTCCATCTTCACTGTCCGTTTGCCGTCGACAATAAAGGGCAAGAAAGGAATATTCTAAGCTTTAAATAATTAATTTGGTAATTTTATTAATGGACGGAGAAAATAATAATCACCAATAAATCTTGAAAGTTAAATTTGTATTAAAAGCCTTTAGTTACACTTTTTCTCCACAAAATATTATGTTTTTCACTTTTTTGTATTTTACTAATTCCTTGATATGGGTAAAGAAAAACTTGAATAGAACGGAGAAACAAAAGATGGAAAACCAAGAATTGCATTCTGAAACCCTTAAATTGAGGGTTTTTCTCTCTATAAATCATCCAAAAATCTAAACTAAAATCAATAAATATGTTGTTATTATATCAAATTAATAAATAACTATAATTAATATCGGATTGGGATTTAAATCCTTACCTTTAAAAAAAAAAGAAATAAGAAATACAGCTCATAAAACAATTCAATTTTTCGAGAATATTGTAACCGTACGTACCAAAAAAAAAGGATATTTTGGGAAAGATACCCCATCCGGAATCCACCCCCGACCCCACCCGCCAATCACGAGGCGGCCACAGCCGTGTGATTGCCACGAGCCCGCCATGCGCACCTGTTTCCAACCCCATCCATCTCCACCGTTCGCTTCGTCTCCCCGTCTCCCTCCTTACTATATCAACCCTTCGTTTCCGGTGTTCCCTCATCCCAATCCTCTCCCTTCTCGATTCACCGGCGCTTCCTCTGACACTATGCTTCTCAAGGCTTCTCATCCTCTCCCTCTCCTCTCCCCCACATCCTCGGAGGCCTCGCCGCCGCCTCCTGCTTCCCTCCGCCTCGCTCTGAGCCTTCCGAAAGTTCAGACCCGTCGCGGGCGCGTGGTCGCCGCTTCCGGAGGCCACGTCATCACCGGCGTCGTCTTCGAGCCCTTCGAGGAGCTCAAGCACAGCGAGCTCTGCCTCGTGCCCACCGCCCCCGATCAGTCCCTCGCTCGCCAAAAGTACGCCGACGACAGCGAGGCCGCCATCAACCTTCAGATCAAGTATCCTCTTCCTCCGATCCATGGATCACTTATTTCTTCTCTCTCTTTTCTCCATTTTCGTCGTCTTTTCCTTTGATATTTCCTCCATAAGATCGTACTTTTTTGCAGTCTGGAATCTGTAGCAAAGAAGATCTAATTTTGTTCTTTACCGGCTGGCCTCTTTCACAATATCTCTAATCTTTGCATGGCAATCTCGATTTACTATGACTCTGAACAGATCACGTTGATGATATCCCCGGAGATGTGGTGTTCTACTATTCGAAGAGATCACAGATGCAACCTTTGTTTCTATGATTTATGGCGCCAATGTCTCTGAGCGTGTTTTCTTGATGCTCTGTTACTCCCGAGAGGAAGAATCCATGTTTTTTTTGTTAAAGTATTTGTTCTATTATTTTGATTCTGAAATCTTGAAGCTAAAAAGACTCCATTTTTGTTCTTACTCTGTTGACTGGTGTTTGAGAAGCTCGTAATCTTAGAAGAGTGATTTCTAGTCGCTATGTTACTGACCTTTTTGTCGGTCATCCTTTTGGGTGCTTTAATCTCAGCGTGGAGTACAATGCATCGTATGTGTACCATGCCATGTTTGCCTACTTCGATCGGGACAATGTTGCGCTCAAAGGCCTTGCCAAGTATGTCTTTGGCGAACCTAAAACCTCTTCTTTAATTCATCTCCTTTTGGGGGTGCAAAAGGGTGAGATCAGTTGTGCTGCTGCTTGTTCAGGTTCTTCAAAGAATCGAGCGAGGAGGAAAGAGGCCATGCTCAGAAGCTGATGGAGTATCAGGTGTTTACCAATCTTCTTGTCCTCCATAAACACTCGTATATGTGTTTTATATTAAGATGTATGTTTTGTGAATCAGAACAAAAGGGGAGGGAAAGTGAAGCTTCTGCCGATTATTTCGCCTTTGACCGAGTTTGATCATCCTGAGAAAGGCGATGCACTGCATGGTGAGTGCTAATTCACTGCTATAATTGGTATTTTCTGCTTGTTCGAGATACAAGATATGTCTTTGAATTCTGTGGCATGGAACTTTTAGATGCTTATTGATATCAGCTTTTGCATAGATCTGCAAATTCACATGTACCTAAGTGTACTGTACATGTCAAACAGCCATAAAAAAAAGTTAAGTTGTAGGATTTCAGATGCATTTTGTTTCCGCAAAAAAATGTGATAAGAGTTCACACATGCTTCTATATTCGACATAGGTTGCCTTTGCTAAATACTTATTCGACATATTAAACAGTGTAAGGCATGAGTTTCCTAGCGATTCATTGGACATGTTTGTTTACGGCTCGAGTTTGGTTATGCCTACTTCATTTCATCTTTAAATCTTTTCCAATCATGCACCTGTGAGAATACCATTTGTGGTATTATCTGTTTCAGCAATGGAATTGGCTTTGTCTATCGAGAAGCTGACAAACGAGAAGCTACTGAGTCTACACAAAGTGAGTGACTCTGTTCTCGAATGCATTGGCTGGTTGTTTAGCACTTGGTTTGTTTTATAATTAAGTATGAAATTTGGATTAACAGGTAGCTCAAAAGTGTAATGATGCTCAGATGTCAGACTTTATCGAGACCGAGTTTCTTGGTGAGCAGGTGAGGCTTGCTTCCCTGTTTCTCTCTGGTTGTTTCCTTTTAATTATTGTCTGGCAATACTGCAGTCATATGGAAACTTAGTTCTTTAAGGGCATTTAGGACATTCTGACCCCTGCAGCTCTGAGTAAGCTTTTGGCTTATTCAATGGTCTCGACCTTATGTTATCTGGTCCCTAACCACATCCGATTTAATTCGGATGGTACTAACAAAACAATGAATGCAAGATTTGGATTCTTGTGAATGTGGGGCGATGGTGTGATCTTACGGTGCACATTTAGGATTTCACCTTTTGGTTTCTGCTTTTTTTTTTTTTACTTTCAGGTGGAAGCAATTAAAAAGATCGCTGAATATGTTGCTCAGTTGAGAAGAGTGGGAAAAGGACATGGTGGGGACTTACTCTGTGTGATACTAGAGAAGAAGATATATCGTGTATTGAGAATAATTAAATCTGTGTTTCTAATGCTCTACTATGAACTATCTTTCAGGAGTCTGGCATTTTGATCAGATGCTTCTCGATGAAGGGGCTGCTGCTGCATGAGCTTCGCGAGGAACACTGGTTGTGTCGAGTCCGCCATCATCGAAATCGCCTTAGTCGTGTCTAGTCCATCATCATCCTAGGAGGGTTGTAATTTCTCTCTCATCTTTGTTTCTAATGTGTTTTGGGTATTTGGCAGTGCAGTAATTAATGTGAACAAAAAGAATGAGAGTAGAGAAGTCAGAGACTGAATCAATGTTCTTGCTCCAGTGAGAGTAGTACTACCTTTTCAGGTGCAGTAAGTATGTTGTTGATAAGAATCAGTTAATTAGTTACCACTTAGAATCTTGCCAGTTTTGTTGATCTTTTAGTCTCTCAGATGTGGCTTTCTTTCTCTGGAGATCAAATCAAATCAACCTCCTAACTACCACCATTTATTTATTCTTCAGATTCTGTTTGTCCCCCCCCCCCCCTCCCCCCAAAAAAAATCATAATTAAGGATAATGTTGATCATATGATCAGGACCTAAACCAGGTTTGATCATATGATCCTTCTGGTTATGTCGAATTTAAAATCAAAACCAAACTGATTTTTTTTAATGTTTCTTCGATTAATTATTTATAATTTATATTATATTTTTTATCGATTCAAAATTAAACCATCGAGCTAACTAATTCTAGTTGGTTATTGATTCGATTTATGTATGTTCTTGTCCGGTTTTGATCGATTCACTTTGGGGTGGTATCGATAGGAAGAAAAGTCTATGAGAGAGATGACGCGAGAATGGTCAACAACAGGCACACCAGCGAGCCGCGAGTCCTAAAAGAAACAAACAGCCCTAAAAAGTGAAAACATCATATGGCTGTTTATCGAAAAGAATTAAATTGGATCGTCCGAAATGGGACAATCCAAGCAAGCCGGGGTTCAGATCGGGACCGGAGGAGCGTTAAATACGACGTTCCGACCGATCCGGACGGGTAAGGTAAGCTAAATAGAAGAAACCCAAATCATGTGATAAGGACTAATAACATCCGTCGACCAATTATTATCAGAAGACCAAACTATATGCTGGCCAGTAGTTGTCTTTGGTATTAACAATCTCATGTAAATTAGCAGCTTATTTTTGTGCTTATATGTAATTTAAAGGACTCTCACCTTTATTGATTGAAAAGGACAACTAAATGTCTTGACCTTTGACTCATGCAATCAGCATGACTCTGTTTGATCTTTTTTTTTCATGGGTTAGGAGATGCCTACATAATTGATTTTGGCCATATTGAATTTGATTGGTTTGTGTCCCTGTCTTGAGTCAATCTAATATCATAAATTATGGGAGGAGATTGTTGTACCACTTGCAATGTATGTATCCAATAAAAAATTTGCAAACAGATAGAATAGCAATTCTGAGAAGGTAAAGAGTTGATAACCCACACCTGGAACAGCAAATTCTGTCTGTCATCAAGAGTCTTTGCTGTGTTATGTTCACCTCGGATCAAAATGCTTCAAGAAACCTAAGGACTGACACCAGCATCCGTGCCTCGGCTATGGATCGCGGATGAGACTCGTCGGCCATATATGGCGGCTTCAGTCTCAGCCCTCTTCTGCGCTTCCCTCTTCGCTCGACGCCGCTCATCCCGCGCGGCTGCGTCGGCATGCACTTTCTCCATTACTTGGATAAAACCAGGAATCCTCCGCACAAATTTGTTGTACACTCTGTAGCTCAGGTTGTAGAAGATTGTGAACAACCTCTGCGGATAAAGACAAACATATTCAACAATGAGTTTGAAGTAATCACTGTTTTCTTGTGCTGACAGTGTGACCTGGTAAAACTCTTCTTCGGCATCCACATTAGTTGGTGAACTAAACCTCGATGGGCAGCTGAATCAAAGGTAATAAAGATTCTAAACAGCCTCTGAAGACAACCATGTTGGGCACAAGACTGACATGATCACTAATTTATTTTGCTTACCGCCTAACCGTGATAAACTCTTCTTAGAAAGATGAACTGACCCACAACTAACAACTGCATCAGACGGCATATAAAAGCAAATATATCAAATATGCAGGACACCAGATTCAAAATGCAATCAAAGTCATGACTTGATCGGGTCATGACCTTTTGGCGTTTGTACTCTGCTGAACACCAGTACTTATTTCAGATTGATCTTTTTAAAGTGCATGTTACATTATTCAATTTCTTGTATCCCTGTGTATTTTCCTGTTATAGCTGTCTAACATAGCACAAAGACCTTAATCAATCAGCCTTCATGCCATTGTTGTGAAAAAACCAACATGATTGGATAACTGCTACTACCTCATCAGAAAAGAAAAGGTTAAGTTGAAGAATGACAAAGATTTCAAGGTGAAGGCAAATGAAAAAAGAGCTTCTTCTCAAAACAAATGAGGCTACCTTCACATCGCTATTCCACTGCTTGAGATATGGTGGACCTGTGGTGTATGAACCAAGAGGTTCACGGTACCAGTCTCCGTCGTATGTTATTTGGTCCATGGCCTGTTCTACACTTAAAACTTCCCAAGGCCTTAATCCAGGGATTACTTTTGCAAGTCGGTACCTGTACATGAGATCGAGATCTCACTCAAAAACTTGCATGCCTTTAAGAAGATTAAGAAATAAATTCCACCAAGAAAAACCAACTCAAGCAGAACATAAGATTTATATTTCATGAAGTTATTGCAGACTAATTCAGAAAAGAATGCATTGCATGTAAATGTAATGAAGAAAGATAATAAGCAACCAATAGAACAAAAAATCTTCCACGGCATACTAGAAATAGGAAAAAGAGGAGTGTAACCAAACCATGTCCCTCCGCAGCAGCTAAAGGAAGTGCAAAAAAATCAGAATAGCAAATGACTAACTGCTACTATCTCTTCCTGCATTTACACCAACAACTGCCTGCATATCACTCCTTTCTTTATGATAAGTAGACACTCGAAGGGGAGGATAAGAAAAGGTTTACTTGCTACTAAGACTGAAAAAAACAAACATACAAGAAGGGATCATTCGAAAAGAAAAATGCAAAGGACCACATTTATAGATATATGATTTCTATTAAAAAAAATTGAAAATCTTAGAGACAAAAAGTTGGTGTACTAAAGCCAAAATGGTCTGCAACATCCTAATTTCGAGGGACATGGTCTGCAGCCAAAATGGACTGCAGAAATCTTAGAAACATGGTCTGCAACATGTCTGCGGCCAACAATCTTAGAGACATCCTATTTAAAAGATATATGGTCTGCAGCCAAAAATCTTAGAGACATCCTATTTAAAAGATATATGGTCTGCAGCCAAAATGGTCTGCAAAAACCTTAAGAGACATGGTCTGCAACATCCTACTGATCCAGGAATGGAATAAGGTGGATCCAATCATGAAGTCTACTAATTTCATGGAATCAGCTGTAGCTTGGTGGATACTCAATTATATTCCGCCAATTTTGACCACATTCCGCTATTCAGATGGAGTTTGGCTTGTTCCTAGCAATTCCTGTTAGTTTCAATTTCTTTAGGAGGCCGAAGAAAGACTAGTTAGCCTGATGCTATATGATCTCTGTGGGAAAAGTTCCCGACCACAGCTTCAATCAAATCTCAATTTGTTCCAACTGATTCCAAAACCAACTTATAATCAATTCTGGTTATTCTTTCGAAGTTTTCAGCAATCCCTCTGATTCGATTGATCCAGATAATTTATCCTAAATGTTTACTGGATCAGATTTGTGAAATTTGACAACTTACATGACAGTGAACCAATGGAACTACAGTTACCACAGTTCCTGCAATTCAACAAATGTATAATAAGGTTCCTGCCCAGTGGCATCCAAATTTTCTATTCTCATTCTACGAATTTGCTTAGAGATGACAATTGAGTGGACCAACTACAAACACAAATTAGTTTAGGCCTTAACTAACAGACAGGATACAAACAAGCATTAGAATAAAAACTAGAGGTACAGTATTGAGATGAATGAGAAAAAGAATAGTGATTCCACGGCCATTTAACCAAGGTATCACACTGAAAGCAAAGTACCCAGCCAAGTCCTATTGATGTACATGATCAAAGTTTGTGGTGCTTAGAAACTTAATTTTGTGACATTGTGGTCTAGATGATTTCTAGTAAGCTTCTCAAACCTATTGTACAAAATAAAATAAAAGCTTAAGAGCACCTTTATAATTTAATTATATTATGAAGCCTTTAACCAATGTGGCATGCATTGGTATAATGGTAAATTTGCTCTTTTGTAACCTGGATGAATTGAGTTTGGCTCACAGAAATAACCTGTCTGCAAGTAGAGATAAGACTGACACCCCATACCATGCAATAGTGTGAAACTCCTACACTGGACCCGTCTTTTTCTGGTCTTTAAGCATCAAACTCAATAACAAAGCAAGTAAAATACAAAATTGCACAAACTCAATCCATCAAAAGTTTCAAACAACAGGCACTGCCTAATACAAAACTAAAATAAAGAAATGATATGTGAAGAATGTGGAAAATGGTATATAAACCGAAAGGGAGGATCTGATTCAGAATCAACGAAGAAGAGAAATTAGGAAGGTGATACCTCATCTCTTTGGGAATATATTTGTTAGGCATGTGATCTCTTTCCAAGATTGTAGTGAGTTCGGAGCCACTAGCCCAAAGAAACATCGCATGGCTAGGAGTTCTTACACCAGGCCATATGCCACCGTTGGCTTGAAGTACTGCCATGTCACGTTTTTTGCTCTCAATAGCCTCTTCTTGTAATTCCTTGTAAGTCTTCTTTTCAAATCCCTTTAGAGGAGTCCAGGGAGATATGCCTTTCTGTAGTTTGTGAAGGAAAGCTGTTGCAGCAGCACCTAGTCTGACTGATAAAAATGAACAATGCATAATTCAGCAGCAATTAATCAAAATACTACCTTACAAACTATTCAGTTATGATAAATCATAGAGAAGAGTCAAGTAATTAACATTTAATCTCTAAAATGCTATGCATGAGAATTCTTGGGTTGGGTAAAGCACACTTAACTAGCAAGCATACAAGCTCATCGCGTTCTAATATTGCCTACAAAATTATCAAGCAAACCATAATAACTCTGTCAAATTTGAACTAACCTTCCCAAGTGGCAACTGCTTTCTCTAAGCCATAGACCATTCCGATAGGTGCCCACTCATCCATGTCTTCGCCCCAGATAAATGTGTGTGTATCAATTATCCCAGCAGCCCATGCAGTTTTAAGAGTTATAAGCTCTAATGGTCCTCTGGTACGTCCTAGCCTGTCCTTGTAATACCAGCCGCCGCTTCTCATGATAACTATTGCATTCAGAATTGTGAATAATTTCAAGAAATGGATATAAAAA